CGGTCCTGAAGAATGGTTGTGTCGTCCCCATATTTAAGTCGGGAGACAACCGCGACGTTATGAACTATACGCCAATTGTCCTTTTGTCCGTTATAAGCAAAGTGTTCGAAGGCCTAATCTTAGATATAGTTCAGTCCTTGTTCAGACAAGTGTTGATAGACGAGCAACACAGATTCACCTCTGGCCGCTCTACTGTGACCAATCTCTTCTCGCTCCAGTGCCAAGTCATGGATGCCTTTAGCCGACGAAGCCAAGTTGATGCTATATACCTAGATTTCAGCAAAGCCTTTGACAAGATTAGTCACCGTCATCTTCTTGCTAAGCTGGAGGGCTATGGCGTTGTTGGCACGATGCTGGTTTGAGAGCTATCTGTCTGGTCGACGTCTGGCTGTTGTCTTTCAGTCCCACGTCTCAGCTAGCTTCGTCGCAAGTTCCGGCGTCCCGCAAGGATCCCATCTTGGCCCACTCTTGTTCTCGATCTTTATCAATGACATTAAAGATAATATAAAGGTGCCTTTTCTGCTGTTCGCTGATGATATTAAGCTGTTCGTGGAAGTCAACTCTCTCTCTGACTGTCAACTACTTCAAGAAGCCCTCGACAACGTCGTCAGTTGGTGTTTGGAGAATGATATGTCAGCAAATCCAGCCAAAACGAAATGTATAACGTTCAGTAGAAAAAAGAACAACTTGGAAGCCGACTATTTCCTTGACGGGAACAGGGTGGAAAGGTGTGACACCATCAAGGACCTGGGCGTTCAGATTGATGCCTCGTTTGATTTTGGACCGCACATAAGCCATCTATGTGCCAGGGCGTCACGCATGCTGGGACTGATCTCTCGGACGTCAAGACATGGGTTGAGTGCCAACTCCCCAATGATCCTGTTCAAGGCCTTAGTTCGCCAGCTGCTCGAGTACGCCTCTGTGGTCTGGTCACCCTACCTCCTCGGCCAAATCAATCATCTTGAATCAGTACAGAGACGCTTCGTGAGACATCTTGGTTGCCGCGCTGGGTTCAATTTCATGGACGTCCCAGTCGAGGAAATATCTGCAGCTTATGGTCTCCAAAGCTTGGAGTGTAGAAGAAGAGTTGCTGATGTTGCCTTCCTCTTCAAGCTGCTTAACAACCAGATCAGCTGCCCTTTTCTGCTCGAGAGGATCAACTTGCACGTTCCCAGAAGTACCAGGCATCAACGCTTGTTTGAGCTAGACCATGCGTCGACCAGCTATCTACGCTTCTGACCCATACCACGTCTGATGCGCTCCGGGAACGAGATCTGTTCGTCAGTCGACCTTTTCGCTTCCAGTTTGGAGGCTGTTAGGCGAGCGGCAGCAGAGGAACGTGACGCTCTATAACATTTCACTGTTGGTGTTGTTTTTGATCTTGTTGTATCTCAAATCATTATTATTGTTGTTCATTTAATGCTTTATTATTGTTATTCATTTCATTATTTAATTGGTGTGAACCTGGCAATAACTCCAGCCATAAGTAGTTCGCGCGCCCTCAAAAATCTATTGCTGGCCGATTTGCGGCAAAATACGGCCGCGTAACATAATACCGATGATGTCACCAGATAGAGGACACTTTAACGGACACGACAGTATCAATATCATGTACCTGGGGGATAAGGAAGGGGGGGTAAAGTCAGCAATAAGTAGAGCGCGCGCCCGAAAAATCTATTGCTCGCCGATTTGCGGCAAAATACGGCCGCGTAACATAATACCGATGATGTCACCAGATAGAGGACACTTTAACGGACACGACAGTATCAATATCATGTACCTGGGGGATAAGGAAGGGGAGGTAAAGTCAGCAAAAAGTAGAGCGTGCGCCCGAAAAATCTATTGCTCGCCGATTTGCGGCAAAATACGGCCGCGTAACATAATACCGATGATGTCACCAGATAGAGGACACTTTAACGGACACGACAGTATCAATATCATGTACCTGGGGGATAAGGAAGGGGAGGTAAAGTCAGCAATAAGTAGAGCGCGCGCCCGAAAAATCTATTGCTCGCCGATTTGCGGCAAAATACGGCCGCGTAACATAATACCGATGATGTCACCAGATAGAGGACTCTTTAACGGACACGACAGTATCAATATCATGTACCTGGGGGATAAGGAAGGGGAGGTAAAGTCAGCAATAAGTAGAGTGCGCGCCCGTAAAATCTAATGCTCGCCGATTTGCGGCAAAATACGGCCGCGTAACATAATACCGATGATGTCACCAGATAGAGGACACTTTTACGGACACGACAGTATCAATATCATGTACCTGGGGGATATGGAAGGGGGGGTTAAGTCAGCAATAAGTAGAGCGCGCGCCCGAAAAATCTATTGCTCGCCGATTTGCGGCAAAATACGGCCGCGTATCATAATACCGATGATGTCACCAGATAGAGGACACTTTAACGGACACGACAGTATCAATATCATGTACCTGGGGGATATGGAAGGGGGGGTAAAGTCAGCAATAAGTAGAGCGCGCGCCCGAAAAATCTATTGCTCGCCGATTTGCGGCAAAATACGGCCGCGTATCATAATACCGATGATGTCACCAGATAGAGGACACTTTAACGGACACGACAGTATATATATCATGTACCTGGGGGATAAGGAAGGGGGGTAAAGTCAGCAATAAGTAGCGCGCGCGTTCTTATCCGCCAGGTACATGATATTGATACTGTCGTGTCCGTTAAAGTGTTTCTATCTGGTGACATCATCGGTATTATGTTACGCGGCCGTATTTTGCTGCAAATCGGCCGGCAATATATTTTTTAGGGCGAGCGCACTACTTATTGCTGATTTTACCCCCCTTTCTTATCCCCCAGGTACATGATATTGATACTGTCGTGTCCGTTAAAGTTTCCTCTATCTGGTGACATTATCGGTATCATGTTACGCGGCCGTATTTTGCCGAAAACGGCGAGCAATAGATTTTTCGGGCGCGCGCACTACTTATTGCTGACTTTACCCCCCCTTCCTTATCCCTCAGGTACATGATATTGATACTGTCGTGTCCGTTAAAGTGTCCTCTATCTGGTGACATCATCGGTATTATGTTACGCGGCCGTATTTTGCCGCAAATCGGCCGGCAATAGATTTTTGAGGGCGCGCGCACTACTTATGGCTGATTTAACCCCCCCCCCTTTCTTATCCCCCAGGTACATGATATTGATACTGTAGTGTCCGTTAAAGTGTCCTCTATCTGGTGACATCATCGGTATTATGTTACGCGGCCGTATTTTGCCGCAAATCGGCCGGCAATAGATTTTTGAGGGCGCGCGCTCTACTTATTGCTGACTTTACCCCCCTTCCTTATTCCCCAGGTACATGATATTGATACTGTCGTGTCCGTTAAAGTGTCCTCTATCTGGTGACATCATCGGTATTATGTTACGCTGCCGTATTTTGCCGCAAATCGGCGAGCAATAGATTTTTCGGGCGCGCGCTCTACTTATTGCTGACTTTACCTCCCCTTCCTTATCCCCCAGGTACATGACATATATACTGTCGTGTCCGTTAAAGTGTCCTCTATCTGGTGACATCATCGGTATTATGTTACGCGGCCGTATTTTGCCGCAAATCGGCGAGCAATAGATTTTACGGGCGCGCGCTCTACTTATTGCTGACTTTACCTCCCCTTCCTTATCCCCCAGGTACATGATATTGATACTGTCGTGTCCGTTAAAGTGTCCTCTATCTGGTGACATCATCGGTATTATGTTACGCGGCCGTATTTTGCCGCAAATCGGCGAGCAATAGATTTTTCGGGCGCGCGCTCTACTTATTGCTGACTTTACCTCCCCTTCCTTATCCCCCAGGTACATGATATTGATACTGTCGTGTCCGTTAAAGTGTCCTCTATCTGGTGACATCATCGGTATTATGTTACGCGGCCGTATTTTGCCGCAAATCGGCGAGCAATAGATTTTTCGGGCGCGCGCTCTACATTTTGCTGACTTTACCTCCCCTTCCTTATCCCCCAGGTACATGATATTGATACTGTCGTGTCCGTTAAAGTGTCCTCTATCTGGTGACATCATCGGTATTATGTTACGCGGCCGTATTTTGCAGCAAATCGGCGAGCAATAGATTTTTCGGGCGCGCGCTCTACTTATTGCTGACTTTACCCCCCCTTCCTTATCCCCCAGGTACATGATATTGATACTGTCGTGTCCGTTAAAGTGTCCTCTATCTGGTGACATCATTGGTATTATGTTACGCGGCCGTATTTTGCCGCAAATCGGCCAGCAATAGATTTTTGAGGGCGCGCGAACTACTTATGGCTGGAGTTATTGCCAGGTTCACACAAGTATTATTTATTATTGTTACTAGTTTTAATTTCTACTACTGTTATTCTTTTCATTGTTTATCGTTGTTAATGCCTAGCACAAAACACAAACATTCACTGTTGTAACTTTCAATCTTTATCTTTGTAAATTGGTGTATTGCCGTTGGTAAATAAATCAAATAAATAAATAAACCTTTGAAGAATCAGAATAAAGAGGAACCTCTCTGGTGAGAGTCGCCTCATAGTAAATAGGCCTACGGCCCTGAGAATAACAGCAAGTTCTCCGCAACGTGTTGCTGCGATAAAGTTACCGCAGCCGCAACAATCCTGTTATGTCAAAATAACGCCGATTTCTATATTAGCCTAGCCTAGGCTTTGATAATATAAGCTAGTGAGCCAGAGGGCAGAGATACCACAAAGCATGTTAGGCAGCTACCTACTCCAAATAGGCTAATGAAAAGATTGAAATAAAACAGTTATGATGCAGGTGTCAATTATGATACTTAGAACATAGTTATAAACTCAATGTCTCGTTCCAGGCCGACTCACTGCAGAAATGGGTTGCTTGTTGCTTTTGTTTTCCTAAAATTTTGTTAAACAAAGATTTTGGAGGCAACGCGATGCATTGCACACGTCCAGAAATAGTCTGGCCTGGTTGCCAAAGCAAAGTAGAATACACAAAGGAAAATTAATAATTGTTACTTACTGTGATGAAGCCATTTTTTCGTAGTAATAAACACTGAAATTTACAAATAATTCAACAAAGGTAATTTATGTTAAAATAACCACGATTAGCCTACAATTTATCCGGTGGGACATTCACCGCCACCATGCTTTCTTTTGCTTAACTTTTTTGTTGATTTCTTGACTTTACTTCGAATCGAACAGAACAGTACAGTCTGAACAACAACAAAAATTAAGAAAATTATGAGCAAATTCAAAGCTGCCAACCAAAACCAACAAAATGTATTCGTGCCCATTGATTATACTTTTCCCAATCACAATTTTCACCCTTTAAGGCGGGGTTTCCTAGTTTATTTATTTATTTATTTTACTTCCCAACGGCATAGCCACTTTACAATGAAAAACATTCACAACTTGAAATTACAGGATACAAAATAGTAAAAGTTCTACAAATAGTGAACAATAACAATTGTAGTAACAATATCAATAGTAGCAAAAATATTAACAATACAAATATTTACAATTTATAAATAGAAAGTTGGATGGCAACAAGTAGTGCATGAGTGAGATCAAAGAAGGGTGTAAAGTTATTTTACAATAAATATCAACATTGACAAAAATGCAGGAACAAACATAAATAATCAGTTTTACAAATTTTACATACATCAGAGACAAGATGAACAAATGCTGGTGAAAATCTGTGTCTGGAAGTAGGCCTAGTTTACGTAGCTCAGTGAGTTTACGCTCATACATTTTCAAAGAGTGAAGATTTCCGTAGCACATCTTCTGATATGAGAAATTGTGTCACAGAACAGGCCACAGTCCGGAGCAACACGGTTTCCAAGCCTGGCAAGACGAGCTAGTGGGCTGTGGAAGTCGAAAGACGTGTTGTAGTGTCTTCGGACGAAGAGTTCCCTAGTCCTAGTGCCAGACGGTATTTTGAAGTCAATTTTTGACAGGATGTCCGGACAAAATAGAAGACCTCTGATTATTTTCAGAAGGAGCATGAAGTCGGTCAAGTCTCGGCACACCGCAAGAGATACAAGCTGCAGTTCAGAAGAGAGTTGCGGGGTATACAATGATTTTTTAGACCGCACTGCAGTACTGCAGACAAAGACGGGCTAGTGTTTTTTCTAGACTTTGCGGGGTGTGGACTTCAAGTTTCAACAACACGAACTCTTCGCAATCCCGTTTCGGACTGCAACGTAGACTCCTCCAGAATGAGTCAGCGCGGGCCGCAGTCTGAACCCCGCTGGCGTGGTGTGGCGTACGATTCCTAGGAAAACACTCTTATACGTATTACTGTGTATTGTGTGCTCAGCGGACTCCGCAGGTTCAACACTCGGTGTATACCCCGCAACACCGGAAAACATAGGACATGGAAAACCCACCTTTAGTATCCTATCCTATAATACTAGCAAGTCAGTCTATTGTCTGTAGTATGTATATGACTAGCCCGTCTGTAATATGTATCTCTGAATACCCCCACCGCAGCAAACCTGCAGACTAAGCGAATTTCCATTTACTGTCTGGATTTGAGTTTTACCAAGTTTTATTGTAAGTTTTGTATTAAGTTTTTTTTTATAAATTTTTATTAATGGGAACTTCCGCCATATTTCCTTGGTATCTACCTTCTCAAAGATTATTGAGAAAGTTATACTCACCCGAATCGAAGACCACCTAGCAAGGATGCATCGACCTAAAAAATCAACACGGCTTCCGAAAGATGAAATCAACTTTGACGATTTCATAATAAAGTACAAACTAATATTATTAGTAAATCAGCTGATCGCCCAATGCAAATCTAATGGAAATTACAAGTTGTAACTTGTAGTTTATTATGAAATGGGCCCCAGATCGTCTTTGCTCCTATCTGTAGAGGTGTGGGCACAGGGCTCAGTTTTGGGACCTGTCCTCTTCACACTATTCACGCTTGACCTTCCTGCACATACAGAGAACTTCGGAAGAGCAATGATGTATGCTGAAGATAATGTTTTATTATCTTCCAGTCACAGTATAGAAGATCTTGAGGTAATTTTCGTTCATCTCCTTGAAACTAGCTATTGAATACTGCTCTGGAAATGATCTCGTATTCAACGAGACTGAAACTAGGCAGTTCAACATGGGAAAGGAAAAAGAAAAAATGTCAGAACTTCCAAACATTTCATCTGTTACATCCGTTAAACACCTTGGAATAATATTAGACTCCAGTCTCAGATGGGACGAGCACATCGACAGCCTCTGTCAGAAATTAAGCAGCAGTATATATGCTTTAAGACACATTAAAGCCATTAGCACATATGATGCAGTAAAAACCGCCTATTTTGCTTTACTGGACAGCCACATTAAATATGGAATAGCTCTTTGGGGCGCCACTGCTGGGAAAAACCTGCAACGTGTGTTAGTTCTGCAGAAACAGAAAGAGGCTGTTCGTGTTATGGCGGACTTTTGTGGACCTGAAGATATTAACACTAATAAATACTTACATACTTGAAGTTGTCACCATAGCCTGCAAATCAATTAAGATTACCACGGAATGTTCACCAGCACTTTACCCGGCACGCCTGTAATTTTAATCTGCCTACACACCACAGTAAAAGATATGAGGGTACCGGTAAGCCTTCTTACATCGGAGCCAAATGTTTCAACCACCTGCCAGCTGAAATCAAGAGTTCTAGTCCTGAGAAGCTGAAGACAGTTACAGTAGGTACTCCGGGATTGGCAGCACCATCATCCTTTCTACGGCGTTGGAGAGTTCTTGGTCTGGCAAGCTCTGTAGATAAATTATTCTGAAAGACACTCTCGAAAGAAGTTTCTGTAATATAATTGACGCAATTTTCAATCTTAATGACTTAATGATTTGTAAATAAAGATCTCTCTCTCTCTCTCTCTCTCTCTCTCTCTTTACCAGTAATTGTCGACCTATTTTCACTTGGTTATGATTGGATGTATTTTTTTCGGCCGCCATCTTGGATCCGCCATTTTGAAATGTGATAAATTATTTTAAATATGAAGGGGGTGTTGTGACCCATCATTTCGAACTACTTTTTTAAGCTGAACTTAATTCCATGATCTGTTTTTCATTTTCGTTTTTGATTTTGAAATATTGACATTTTTAACAAAAAAATTGCAATATTTCATAAATAAAACTTGATAACCAAAAATGAATTGCGGCATTGAGTTAAGCTTAAAAAAGTAGTTCAAAACGATGGGTCACAACACCCCCTTCATATTTAAAATAATTTATCACATTTCAAAATGGTGGATCCAAGATGGCGGCCGAAAAAAATACATCAGTCATAACCAAGTGAAAATAGGTCGACAATTACTGGTAGTGTATACTTATCTTTATCTAGCACTATTTTGAGATTATGGTCTTAGTTTGTAAATGTACAATGTTAAAATGGGCTAAAAATAAAGTTTTTGAAATAATGGGTCACAACCCCACCTTTACATTTGAAAAAAAATTTTGCATCCAATATGGCGGACCCAAGATGGCGGCCGGAAATGACCACCTTGTCAAAATGAAGTACTTACTACCCAAAAATGTTTGGAAGTGGTCTGGGATTGATATTTGAAAAAATGTAGAAAAAAGTTTTGGGGGGACAATTAAAACTCACCCTGTATGTGCGGTAGCTTGATAAGTTAACTTGAGCAAAATGATCTGATTTTGATGAAATTTGGTACAAACTTGTAAACCTACATTTATCCAAACCAGCATTATTAGACCATGGGAATAGGGTTTTATGGGGTAAAAATATTGATTTCCAATTTTTTACCCTAAAAACATAAAATTTTCTATTTTCTTTGTAGAGCATTAAACAAATTATTTAGTAAATCGAAGCGTTGTTGTATGTCAGACGATTACGGAGAAAATTCAGAAAAAAGTGTATATTAAAATTTCTATGTGTTATTCTTTTGGAGAAAAAGAAAACTGATGTAGTTTGCTTGTTTATGGATATATATTAATTGAATTTGCCAAAGTTGTTTCTTTTATACTAACCCTCAACATTTCAATAAAAAAATACACCTTTTTTACCTTACCTGTAGCAGCAAACCTAAGTACGACTAAAATTAATGTTATTTAAATATGAAGTAAATGTGACATTTTTTAGGGAATATTTTAGTGAAAATCTAATTTATTTAGTCTGCAGGTTTGCGGCGGGTATTAATTATGTAAGCCGATTCTTTGCGTCAAAATTGTGGGCGACTGGGAAGTCGTAGAACGACGGGAGAGGGCTCAAATTAAAGGTCTTGATCCAGTGACGGCAGGAAAAATAATGAAATTTCCCAAATTGTAACACAAAATAGATATAAGGTAAAACGTTCTCCATAAAAGTAGCATTAGAAGCCATTTACTGCTGATTTTTGTTTATTTCAATACAGCTGATCGTGATTTACCACTAAGCAAATAAGCAATATTACATTTGGATTACTCATAGAGGAGATAAATTCAAAAAGGGGGGCTTGGGTTTTTTAAATTTAATTTAACTTTCATATAAACATGACAATCCCATTGGTACTGTTTACTAAACAATGGAGTGACTTAGAAATGACTCAGCAATTTCTGCAAGATAAGAGCAGAATGAGTTGTAAAAAACTCTAGATAATATTATTTACTGTTTGTTGTTAAGGAGTTATCAGCCTTGGGTATTAAACGCAATCTAGTTCAAGTGCCTTAATTTAGAGTGTGGGCTCCATTGGAACTGAGCATCAGTGTTGGATGGATTCTAAATGGTTTGTAGCTCATAGATAAGTTTATTACTGTGCATGTTATGTTTATTTAACCATAAAAACTGGCATTAGTTTGACTTATAGAATCAAGTGAACACTTTTTTTTACAATTTTCTAACTTACAGTGAGTGTGTGTGTTAGTTGGTCTAAATGGAAGTAAGTTAGCTCTAGCATTCAGTCCTAGCTCCTAGGCACATTTTTGTTGTATTATATAAACACACTTCTATAAAAGGAAACATACATTAAAAGTAGCAAAAAAAAATCCCCATTATATTGCAATATCAGTTATTATGCACTACACCAATATTATTATACACCAGTGTATGACAAATAAATTTTATGATACATACCTGAAGATTTAGCAGTTGCCACAAAACATACTGTATTGCATCTTGAAAGGTAATGAATAGTAATACAGTCAAATTTTTGTAATCTTTAAGGCCTTTTACCAAATCAAAATATAGGCATAAGCTCTAGAGAACATACAAATTAAGCTTAAGAGTGTTTCGATTTGCCCTAAATGGTAATTTGTTGAGCTCTGCCCCACAGGCTGATTTCCAAAAGGCTACTTCTTACATGCTTCTTAAGTTTAAATGATGTAATTAAGTAAAATGGAACAGCTGGTCGATACAATCAACAGGTGTTTGTTTATTTAGTTGAAAGATTTTTTTTGTAGAAATTTGTGTGCTATTTAGTAAGAGGGTAAGGTCATAGATAAAACCATAGACAAAAAGAATTAAATATAGACCATCATCCGTGCTGCGATTAGCATAGGTTCTGACGCCCACCGCTAGGAGCGCCGTGTAGTTATGGCGTAACTACATGGCGCTCCCAGCAGATGCCAGAACCTGTGCTAATCGCAGCTTGGCTGACAGTCTATATTTAATTAGTTTTGTCTATGATAAAACATACCCTACCCCTTAGTAGGTTTATCATCCTTAAGGATCAGCTGGGGGAAGACAATTTGTGTTAGTTCCATCAAGTGCAATGTAGGGGTTGTGTTTTGTTTACAATTTGTTTCTTTTCTTATTTCAGTACCGTAATTTTAAACATTGTTTTATTGAAACCAAACGATCCAATCATAAGAAACTAGTGTGCATGTTGCTTGAATTCGAGCAATTGCAAAGTATTACAGGAGTTATTTCAAAACGAATAGGTAACATCAGTCATATATACAATGTGTTTAAAGAATCAACTCAAAGATTACCGGTATGTAACTCAGACCATGTTTATCTTCGTTATTGATAAACCTAAAGCATTCCGGCCGGTTTTCTCCTTCTCAAAATGCCTCGCTGTACAGGCAACACAGGTCATTGATAGAGGGCCAATTGAGAATGAAAAGTCGTTTTGGCGTAGTGTTAGGGCGCATTTATAACCTAATAGTTGAGATTGTCCAGGATCAGGTGCTGACTGTGATGAGTTAAGCCTATTACGCGCCACTGTTCTGTAGCTGCGGTCGTTTATCACGATTACGCCTCCTGTCTATGTTTCGTTGTCGTCGCGTCGGAGGCATTTAAAAGAAAAAAACAACAAATAAACAAATTATAGCTACACAAAACAACGATAAATGCACATTAAGTTACAATCATGCTAACACTATCCGTCATAGCGACACAAGGTGAGTGAGCGTAGCGAACGAACTTCAACCAGGACGTGATTGAGCCATGCGAACAAGCTCATCTTGAAAATTAAGAAGTTAAACGGGGCAAAGTCCGCGGGTACAGCTAGTAGTAAATAAATGTACTCAATGCGTTTCATTGAATTGAAAAATAAATAACAGCAATAAAATTATACAGCTGATCAAAATGTAAACAATTATGTTCTTCATAAGGATAACAAGTGAACTTTCAAAGCCACTGGGGCAGAGCTCTTTCCAATGAGATGTCAATGGATAAAATCGGTTAAGAAATGGCGGAGGAGTTCAACCGACAAAGTTTCATGTAGCGTATTAATTAATTATATAGATAACTGATCGTTCCCCAGTTATATAACCTATATAAGTTATATTCTAGTTATATAGGTTGTACAATAGTACAAATCATAAAATTAACTCTAAAATAATAAAAACAATATTCTTTTGACACTAGCAATCAGTGTCACCAACATTGGTCTGTAATATTGTTCAAGCAAAGTTAAAAGAGTTTCTTTTTTAGTTAATTGTTTCTCTATTAATGCATAACCAATTGTAGTACCTAGTATTATTAATTATTTCTTTACAAACAGGTAAAATGGGACTGATTTTGGAACATGCATCAACAGAAATACTATATATCTTTGCTCTGGCCGTTTTCTCAATTTATTGGTATCTAACAAAAAATTACAATTATTGGGAGAAGAGAAATGTGCCACATAAAAGACCAGAGTTTCCTTTTGGATCGACAAAGGAAATTGCACTTGCAAAAACATTCACCGGAAAAGCTCATGACAACATATACAACGAGTTTCCAAACGAAAGATACTACGGTATAATAGAATTCAGGAAACCAGCATTGGTAATAAAGGATCCGGAGTTGATAAAAAAAATTATGGTAAAAGATTTCCAGCACTTTGTAGACAGACCGGTTTTAATGGGTAATCCTGATGAATACATACTAAAGCATCTACTTACTTTAAAAGGCCAAGAGTGGAAAGAAATGCGGTCAAAACTAACACCAACTTTTACCTCTGGAAAAATGAAACTTATGTTTCAGTTGATGGAGAAATGCAGCGAACAGTTAAAAGAACAAATTGAATCAGAAATAGAGAAAAATAGTACGATTGATGCAAAAAATCTGCTTGCAAGATTTACACTGGAGATAATAGCGTCTTGTGCTTTCGGGATAGAGACTAACGCCATAGCAGATCAAAATACTGAATTTTATCGTATATTCGGCAAAACCATGAAAACAAACATGCTTCGTTACATCAGGAGAATCTTTCTGGTGGTATTTCCTGGCCTCATTAGTTTACTCAGGATCAACCTGGTGAAGCCTGAAACTAGAGATTTTGTAACTAATCTTATCAAAGACACCATAGAATACCGTAAAAAAAACAACATAAAGAGAAATGACTTCTTAGACTTGCTTACCAATGTGAAACCCATAAAATCTTCAGAAGAAAATGGTCATGAAAATGGAGAGAGGCCCTGTGATAAGTCAGATGGTAAGTACAATTAAATTAACATTTGTAAAACCTTATTTTGGTTTTGGATTTAAATTATTCATAACTAATGTAAATAATGTAATTTGTAGGATATAATTTTGTTATTGTGCCTTGTGCTTACCTACTTATTATAAATTATTACTACCACTCAAATCGAATCCAATCTTTATTCAACACATAAAGACTTCCCCGACATGACGTCCCCAAAAAGTGGAATATCAAAGTTAATTTGACCAAAATGTCAACTGTGGGGATGTAATCCTTGATTATAGCTCACAACAAATTACTCAACAATCTCCTGTTGCAGGTCTCACGATAGAGCAAATGTCAGCCCAGACGTTTGTCTTCTTGATCGCAGGATTTGAAACTGCATCATCGCTAATGTCTTTTTGCCTTTACGAGCTGGCCAGACATCCTAAAATCCAGGAGAGACTTCACCGAGAAGTTAAAGACGCTGTGGAAAGGAATGGAGGGAAAATGTCTTACCAATTGCTACACGAAATGCCTTATCTAGATCAAGTTATCAATGGTATGTTTGATGTCTTCAGGTTGAATTATCTTATCTCACTTTGTTAGACTTACTACAGTGCAGAAAATATTTACCATATTAACTACCTGCATAATGAAAAGTACCTAACTAATATAGTTACTTTCAAACTTTTGAATAGAATACTGTAAATAATATATGAGGATTGTTATGGGGTTTAAAAACCCTTATAAGACATTTTTACAAAGTGGGTAACCTTTAAGGATATGATAGGGTCAGAGGGTTGTGAAAGGAAATAATAGTAATAAAGTAATGTGATATTAATTAAATATATGTTTAAGAACAGCAACCTTAAAGGGGCCTGTTTCATAATAAACTAAAAGTTAAAAGTTGTAACTTTTAATTTCCATTACATTTGCATTGGGTGATCAGCTGATTTACTAATAATATTAGTTTGTAATTTATTATGAAACAGGCCCATATGCAATATGTCACTATTTTGTTGTTTGAATATCCTAACTAAACAACATGTTTCGCAGATGATTAGGATCTACAGGGCCTGTATCATAACTAAACTTCAAACTAATATTATTAGTAAATCAGCTGATCACCTAATTTAAATCTTATGGAAATTACAAGTTACAACTTGTAACTTTTAGTTAATCATAAAACCCAGGGTGTTTTTTTAGTGAATTTCCCTATAGGAAACTATAGACACCCCATAAAACCCCCCATAAACCCCCGTTCCCGTAGTCCAATCATATGCTGGTTCGCGAACTCGTTAGAATAAATGTGTAAGTTTACACGTTTATACCAAATTTCATCAAAATCGGATCATTTTTGCTCGAGTTATCTTGCTAACGGACACATATATGAATTTGAACGGATGGTGTTTTTGGCCTCTAGGGACGTCAAAACGAAAAAGTAAATCGGTCCCTGGTCCAGATCTTACCATGAGTACTACAGCAATAGCTTAATATGGGAAATTCGCTAAAAAGAGATAAAGCTTAGTTTTGTAAATATTTTGTAAATTTATATCATTATTATAGATATATATTTTTTTAAATATAAATACAATTTATGCTTAGAACATATTAAACTCTTTAATTATATGTAACCCTCATACATGAGTCTAAAACATTTAATTTGAGACTTAAATAAGGCATTTCGGATAATTAATTCAAAAGGTACAGAAAAAGATTTAAATTTCCAAGATGGAGGCAGTTTTTTCAGAATGGCGGTCGTTCACTGAAAACAATACTTTCTCCATATATACTATGGTATAGGGGGGGGGGAAGTAAAAATAGAGTTAAGCTAGCTTACCTGAGAAAGTTAGAGTCTAAAGGAGATAATGGATATACACAATTAAAGGTAAGAAAATAAAAAACTGATATTCTGTCTTAATAAAAGACTTCTTCTGAGGGTAGGTTGAAATGAAATAGTTTCTCTTCAGAAAATGAGTTGTAGATGTCATGCAATATAGAGAAATATTTAAACCCACTTTTTGTTAAATTTCAGAAGCACTTCGTCTGTACGGGACAGGACAGGTTCTAACTAGAGTGTGTACACAACCGTACCAAGTGCCAGACTCAGACCTCCTTATAGAGATGGGCATGAAGATTATCATCCCTTTGTTCTCGCTGCACCACGATCCTCACTACTATTCCGATCCTTACACCTTCGACCCAGAGAGATTCAGTGACGATCAGGTCAAGAAACGACATCCTTACGTCTTCATGCCTTTTGGAGAAGGACCAAGAAACTGCATTGGTATGTAGCTTTTGTTATTTTTATCAAAGCAAGCGAGACATTCTTTACTTGGCAATGACAAAACTGATCTGCAACCATAATCCCAATTTGCTGAGAATCCTGCGATTCCTCTGTAACTTCTTTATCTTGCTCTTTATCTTGCTCTTTAATTGCAATAATATTCATGATAAATATTTGTTTCCCCAGAGGCAAGAACTTAATAATCTTTTAGTAATCTGGTACCGTACTTTGTTTTTAGAAGCGTTCGTTAGGAGGTTTTTAGCGTTGATAGTTCTTGCAGAATATATGTTTATCTATCCTCCGATACATTGCTTCACGGAGTGTAGCATATTCTTCTTAATATTTAACAGTAGATCGAACTTGGTGCCACCGTAGTGGTTGAGTGCACTTCTAGGGTTTGTTTCATTCACATGTACTGTGGCTGCAGAGTGTAAATAAATATGTTTAAAGGCAGGTCTACACGCAAGGATTACCGAACTTTTTACCTGCGCAAGTAAAATCGTTGCTTGTGTACCGCAAAACTGTGCATCTTTGAAAACTGCCCGGAGACGGAAGACGGAGCGATAAAACTATTGCGGAGAGCATAGTTTTGACAAAGTTTTCAAAAAAGTCGTTGCGTGTGTACACTGTCATCCGTTTCAACTCCGTCTTCACGCTCAAAACCCCAGTATGCAGTGTTGTCTTCACGTGCTCTGTCAGAGGTACAAGTGTGTTTTTTATTAGGATCGCAGATATTCGCCAATGTCCCCGTGATTTTATTGTTGAATTCATCGAACTGTGCAGAAGTTTTCCTTATTTATGGAGGGTCAAGAGTAAGGAACTTAGTGACTGTGATAAGAAAAAGACTTAGTGACTTAAAAAAAATACAAAGCAGTTGTAGATTCCAACGTGAACAGAGAAACTATTATGAAATTGGTTGTCTTTTTAGTAACCAACGTCTTGACTATAATCAGCGCCGTTGTTGCTCAGACTTATTTCTTTGCTTTCTTGTAACACTGGCTGCAGAAATCGACTACAGTAACACATCTTCCATAATATTACATGCACATACACTGAAAGTTATCACAAAACTACAGTATACTAAAAGATGGTGCTGAAACCTGTACCGTGTGGACACATTTCGTTGCAACGACTTGACTGCAACGTTTTACCTGCGCAGGTAAAACGTACCCGGAATCCTTGCGTGTAGACCCCCCTTAAGAGAGAACGAGCCACACTCTTAGCGAGATATATTAAAGACTATATCTTGAAGAACAAAGGCTTCTACAAAAACAATTAACATACTGTACCATAGTTACTTATAGAAAAAGGAGGATAGCAGCTGGCTTACCTTGAAGAAGTGCAGGTAGGTCATAGAACACACGTACAGAAGAGACGCTGAACCAGATTATCCAAATTAAGAACTCAGGTCAATCTTTGACCATCAATAAACTTATTGGGGCTTTGCCCAAAGAAGAAGACGTCCCTGTCTGAGAGTGGTAAAGAAGAAGGTAAAAGGTAAAATGTAAAAGGTGAACACACATTGGCCCCCCGGGGAACTTTTTTACATCGCCAGTTCCCCAGGACAAACTTAAAAACCAGTAACTTAAGAATTGTCAATATGTCCAATGAACCCTTTCACTTTATGTAAAAATCAAGAGCAATATTTTCATTACAAATCCACCAGTTTTTTAAAATAAATTTATTAAATTATAGGTACCTACTTAATTTAAAGCTACATGGGGCTTAATCGTTTGAGCTCTAAAGCATAAAGAATGATATAACTGATATAACGGAAGCAATATTTCTATTTAATTGCAGTTTTTATGAACATAAAGAAGCAAGTTAAAAAAACACTCTGTACAAACAAAAAATAGTGGACGGATTTGGTGTAAGTTGACAGGACGGGTGGATTCTATAAGTAGGTAGCTTCTAGCTCAAATTGCAAATTTTAATACAATTCACTTATGCTTACTGTATGTTTTTTAAAAACATTGTTCAACAATTTTTTTTATTTATAAGTTGAGGTAAACGAGATATAAATAGATGTGACTTAACCAATAAATAATCCACCTTGAAGCATTGAAACTGAATTTAAATCTAAGGTTAATATTTTAGAGCTTTCTTAGTTACATTTTAACATTTATTTAAACTTACTACTTTTTACATTTCAGGTATGCGTTTTGGGCAAACTCAAGCAAAAGTAGGCTTAGCGACTGTGGTGTTGAACTTCTTAGTAGATCTCTCACCCGAACAAGAGGTTCCAATTGCAATCGACAACAAAGCAATCGTAATGATGCCAGCCAAGCCTGTCCTTTTAATGCTTCAAAAGAGAACATGAAACTTGAGATAGTAAGATAATACAATGAGGATTCTGTATTCTTTATCAACACACAGTTGCTAGTTGATCTTAACAAGATCTTTACAGTGCCGTCATCTGACACGGAGTGTTGTCAAATGGCTCCTTACAGGGCCGGCTCCATAGGAGGGCAGGCCAGGTAGGCCTGGGCTTACCCAAAATTTTGGTAGATATTTCATAATTATAGATAAATAAAGACATTTAATTATATGTAAATAAAGGGAAAGCGTTAAAACTCATTATTTTGCATTTCAATTATAAAATTCCCCAATTTTGCAGGAAAGCCCCTAAATCCTCTTATACCCTGATCAGACTCCTTCTCAATCCTTGTCAGGGCTACCAACGAAATTTTTTCCAGGAGCCGCCCCTGACTCCTTAGATGCCCACCCACTATGTTTCCTTTTAAGCGAATTTCTTTATTGGGAAGTATTTAGCAAATTTCCTTATAGGGAAGTAAATAGCTATTACCATAGGTGGCATGGTAAGACCTAGGCCCGGGTCCGATTTACTTTTTCATTTTGATGTCCCCAGAGGCCAAAAACACCATTGCAAAAGCACCATGTGTATGTATGTATATGTATACTGTATATACAGGGTGATTGATATAAGTGTGCCAGCCGTTTTATTCGAAAACTATAAGAGATATCAAAAAAAGTTAAATGGTAAGTGCCTTGGATTTTTTATTAAAAAAGTTATAGTCAAGTCAAAAAAATGATTTTAGCCGCCATTTTTCCAATATGGCTGCCAACTTTGATTTTTCTTATGGAACACCCTGTATTTTATGATGTATTCTGGTAGAAAATGTGATTTTAAGACGATTTTATTCTTGTGATTTTTTTCATAAACCTAACCGTTTCAAAGATAATAATGGTTTAAGTTGTGAAATTTTGAATGGTTTTCGAATAAAACAGCTGGCTTGCTTGCTTAGGCCTGTATCGAAACTCTTTCTCATGCAAAAATTTCAAAACTTTAACCATTATTATCTTTGAAACGGTTAGGTTTATGAAAAAAATCACAAGAATAAAATCGTCTTAAAATCACATTTTCTACCAGAATACATCATAAAATACAGGATGTTCCATAAGAAAAATCAAAGTTGGCGGCCATATTGGAAAAATGGCGGCTAAAATAATTTTTTTGACTTGACTACAATTTTTTAAATAAAAAATCCAAGGCACTTACCATTTAACTTTTTTTGATATCTCTTATAGTTTGCGAATAAAACGGCTGGCACACTTATATCAATCACCCTGTACACAGGGTGTCCATAAAAAACGTTTCAGGACTTTGGGAAATGAATCCTCATACTGAAAGGAAGAAAAAAGTTTCAGTGAAGGTATGTCCGAAAATGCATTATTTACCCAGTTATCCGCCATTTTGTTTTTTTTTATACAAAAATATTTTTATCTGTAAAGTTTTTTGTTCGATGGTTATAAAATTTCGTAACCATGTTAACATACAAAAGACCTATAATCGAAAAAAATAATAAAGTTATTCCAATTGTAAATTTCAAAATGGCGGCCGTTTAAATTTTTCTAACTTAAATAACTCAAAAAAGGCTAGTTCTATCATAGATAAAACATGGTTCTATGAAAAATGTCAAGAATACTTTTTTTTTAGAATTTGTAATTCCCTATCAAACGATACCAAGATCAAAAAGATCGGACAAAAGAATAAAAGATAACTGAAATATAAAGTTTTTTGTGTAAAAATAAGGCAAAGTTAGTCGGGGGAACCCTTAATTTTGCCTTATTTTTACACAAAAAAACTTTATATTTCAGTTATCTTTTGTCCGATCTTGGTATCTTGGGTTGAGGCGACCGGGAAATCCCAGAATCGCGTGGGAGTTGTTTGAACCGGGAATTATGTGTGAATTTTGTATTTCTACCTGGAGTTTTCAATTGACGATGACCTCCATATGTCCGTTGGGGATGATTGCCGTTTTTCCGCAATCACGCGGGAGACGATTACGATGTCTTCAAGACTACGGGAGACGATTACGATGTCTACAGGACCGCGAGAGATACAATAATGATTTCTACACGGCCACGAGGGATGATCAGAATATTGCCGCGATCACGGAAGACGATGATAATGGCCACACGATCGCGGGAAAACGTTATTACTTTTCCTAATTTGCGGAAGAGGATGATGATCTCCACAAGACCGAGGGAAATGATTACAATTTTGCCACAATCGCGGGAGGCGATTACTATGTCCACACGACCGCGGGGGACGATATAATGATGTCTTCACGGCCGCGAGGGGTGGTCAGAATTTGACCGCGATCGCGCAAGACGAGGATAATGTCCTAACGACCGCGGGAAAAGATAAGAATTTTGCCCCATTTGCGGTAGACGATGAAAATCTCCTCACGACCTCGGGATATGCTCATATCCCTCATATTGCCTCGATAATGGTAGACCATGTCTAAACGACCCGACCGCGGAAAATAGTAAGAATCTTGTCGCAAACGCGGGAGACGATTATGATGTCTACACGGCTGCGAGGTTATAAGCAATTTACCGTGATCGCATTCAAATACAACCACCATTTTTTTATTTACATCGGCCCTGCTGGGAAAAAGTGTGAACGTCATGAAATCGTGACGTCGTGCGTCACGGAGCGTCCTCTGACCACCCCCCTGACTCTCTCTCTCTCTGTCCAAGGCTCTGTTCCACTATCTGACGGAGACTTCAGTTCCAGTTCAGTTCAGTTACTCCAGTTCAGTTCAGTCTACAGTCACAGTCACAGTCAAGACAAGTCGACTGTCGAGTCAGTCAGTCAGTCTCAGTCAGTAGTCAGTCAGTGTTTTTGTCATCAAGTTGAGGTTAGCTGATAGAACTAAATAATTTTCAAATTAAAGGTTTCCAATGAATTTTAAATAAAATAATTGCCATAATATGATTCTTAATTTATGTATTTGGTGCACCAGGATCATACTATATAGTTTTGTTTGGGAAAAATCTACTACTGTACCTAGTTTTTCCATACAGGTAGGCCTAGCTTAAGTAGCCTACCGTACGCCTAGGCTGTGGCTGTGTGGAAAATGAGATGAAAATGTCTTAAATGTTTTTTTTAGGCTATAAGATAGCATGGTCTTATTCTTATCAGTCATCACTGGCTTTCACATTCAATGTTCTGTTAAATGTTGCAGTCTCGCATAGACCTATGCTATGTTTATGCAGTGATTTAATCTATTTATATTAGGCCTAATGTATTTTTGAATATAAAAATGGTGTTACCGTTGGAAGAATAAATACCATACAATGTTATTAGCTGTAGGGGGTGCAGTTTCTTAACTGGGCTACGCTAATATTGATTGAAACTATCGATTCGATTAGTAAACCTTAATGCGATTTTTTCACCATCAGCAAGTATGGTTGGTTAGGTTAGGTTATGATAGTTTAATTTTATAATAGATATATTTTAAAATATCGATTATTAATCAATATTTTCAATTCGATAGTTTCAATCAATATTAGCGTAGCCCAGTTAAGAAACTGTATACGCAGAGGATAGGCCTACGCATCAGGTAACCGGACGTGGTTTAGGCGTCCGGCAGTTAGGCTTTGTCATAACCTAACATAACCAACCAAACTTGCTGGTAATGAAAAAATCAAATGAAGGTTAAATTCTGTTCTTAAAATAAAATTATAAATGCCAAAAATTATTACAAAAGATGTACCTACTGTTAAGAAGAAATGGCATTCAAAGCAAAATCTTTGACAAAAAAGTTAAAGTTACCGATAGGATTCAAACCAGGGACCTCTTGCATATCAGCCGAGCACTCTATCCACTAAGTTACATCACAAACACCAATGGCTGTGCATCGTATTGTTGTGGTAATGGTGTTCCGGACCCCCATAACTTGGTGACGTCACTGCTGGATGCTTATCCACGCCTGGTTACCGGACGCGTGTCCTCTGTGAATAAAATAATGGTGCTGTTGTTTTAAACCCCAATACAGCATTAGTTCGTATGAAATGACTTAACAGTTCTAATACAGTAGACTCCCTCTTATCCGTACTCCACGGGACCGTGGCCAGTCCGGATAACGGGTGATATTCGACTTAAATTTAGGAGAACATCGTATTTAGACACGTGATCACTGGTCTCAAATCTTTCCCACGAGAACAGTCGTTTCAGTACTGCCTACTTCCTGCCGATCTAGTCCGGTTAAACCAATGTGCTGATAAAAATTGTCCGGTTAAAGAGATGTCATTTCTGCCGAGTGTAGTCCGGTTTAAAGGTGTCCGGATAAGAGGGAGTCTACTGTAATGGCATTTATAGTGTTGCACATCTCAAATTTACATTTATCTAAGTTATTGCATTGTTAAACTAGGTCCTGGTTTTAAAACTTCATGTCAATTTTAAGTTAACAAGATTGCCTACTATCTTAAACGAGCTGTTACGCACGGGCTTCACCCCGTTTGACTTCATAAGTATTAATACAATTATTGATTGGTTAAGTTAAGCTGAAAGAAACAAAATAGAATACAGTAATACAAACAAATGAGTACAGCTGAGATACTTTTTACATTAGATATATGGAAAGTTCTCTTTAGAAAGGATTTACGACCTTAAAGGCCAATTTATGAAACAATGGATAGTTTTGCGCAAGGTTTCTCGTCATGACGAACATTTTAAGTAAGTTATATGGTTTATGGGAGTGTGACTTATAGTTTTCTCAAAAGTTCATGGGTACTTTTGGCTTTATATATAGATAGGCCTACACAGTAGGCCTAGGCTACTTTATTTATTTTCATTCCTGCATGGGGCCCTGAATTTATATATCTACAATATGTACAATTTGTGTGAATGGGCTAGGCCCATTCCTTGACAAGATCAAAATAAATTAGTCTACTTGCGTGTAAATGCCTAACGACCATAGGCCTATATATTTTAAAATGTCTTTAACTTATGCCATTTTCTCATCCTTTTTAGTAGGCCTAACTTTAAGTCAAGGTTAATTCGTAAGCTTTCTCAACATCGCTGGCATGCTAGGACTAAATTAAATTACCGGTACTTTCCTGTTAAAGAGAACATTTATTATCAATTATTTCTTTTTTTATAGGCCTATCGATAATTTATTTTTTTATTTGATATATTGATATTAACAAATAGAAACTTATCAGCTGAAAACTATGATAAATAAATATTGTTCAGTATCAACAAACAATAATAAAAACATATTAGGCCTATATTGATATGAAACTGTTCTTAACCAACCAAACTTGCTGTAACATTTCAAAATTCCGTTTGATAGCCTAAGTTATTCCCCATATGCCTTTTCTGTTATCAAACGGAATTTTGAAACGGTAACTTGGCCTACAGCAAGTTTGGTTACCTTGTTATAGGCCTATTAGGTTAGTTTAGAATAGTTTCATTTCATAATCCAATATATAACTTAGGCAATTTTTTTGCCTAATAACAAGATTAGTTTGTTCTTAATCTTATTCTCTAATACAAGCTAAAACTCAGTAACTTGGTTACTGAACGAAGTATAATTTAGACATATTTGCTATGTCTGTTTGTCTGTAGGCTAATTTAAATGTGTTTGAAGATATTAAAACAGATGGAATATGAATCGTAAAGGAAAACAAAAATATTGATAGCCTATATCGAAAAGGAATCACGATAATAATGAATGTTCCCCTTAACAGGAAAGTACTAAATTACCTAGGTATAATTTAAGCATTGATTTAAGTCAATGGTAGGCCTATTAATGGCTCTAAATGTCGAATTACCTAAGTTAGAGGACTCAAACTGTAAAATACATTCATGTAACTGACCTAATTACCCCAAAATGTTATTGATTGATTATTATTCTTAAAGGTATATTTTAAAAGTAAGCCATATAGGGCCTATATTGTGACCTTATTTGGGTGACGTGGGACTTGTGCTTTTGCTTTGGACTGTAGCTCTCTACTAAAATCAATATCCTGTAACCTAGCACACTCGCGAAACATTTATGGGCCTTTTAACTCAATTGTTACAAACAACTTCACACTAAAAACTATTGGTATTTTCAACCGTGTATACATCTATGACTAACTTGGATACTAGAATACTGCATCGGTGACTGACAAAGTCGGAATAGATTGCGTCACATATAATAATAGGCTACTATTTTTCACATAAAAACTAACTAAGATGGCGGAGGGTTACCAAAAAGTGGTGTGTCGTCCAGCTCACTTAGTGAGTATAGAGGCTTGCCCACCAGATAGTCTCGCTCAGGGTGTCTTTGAAGGCCCTAATGTCCAGCTCGCGCACTTCAACTGGGAGCGTGTTATAGAGCTTACTAGTGTAGTACAGTTCGGCCAAAGTTTCTGTACGCGCGACCAGATCTGGTTGGGTCTAGGCGAGGGGTTTGGCGGGGGTACTTTTGTAAAAACATTTGTGTCTCGCTACTCACTCACCCCTACCCCCAGCACTGCCAATAGCCCGTACCCGTATGTTTTAGTTCGGCTAGTAGTGACTCGTCCACGCGCACAGAAGTTTTGGTCGAACTGTAAGGGTACAGCCATTTTGAGTCTAGGCTAGTCGGCATCTAGGTAGGTCAAGGTGATGGCCTTGATAGGAATGCAGGTACTCACGTCGAGCAAGTTTTGCTGAATTTTCTCTTATTACTATGCTATTTAATACATACTGGCTGTAGTTACTTACAGTAGGCCTGCTCTACTTTTGATAACCATATCATATAGGCCTAGGTGACTTAGGGCCTATGCAACTTACTTAGGGTAACCTAATAGTCCAGTCAATTCGTCGTGGAAATCTACCTTACGTTACAAAAAATAACTGTTACGAGTTTTTTCCTTAACTTTATGTTTTTTGGGGCGCTGAATCCGAATCTGAAGAGATCCAACAAAAATTCCTTGTGCGTTTTGAGCTAGAGGCAAAAAATAAGAAAATTTTCGCTGTTTTTTCAGTGTTTTGCTTATAACTTGGAAACTATACATTCTACTAAATTTTACCAAATGTGAAAATGAAAGATCATGAAATTTCCTACAAAATACATATGTATTATTCTTTATCAAACGTACAATTAGCTCGCTAGAGTGCGCTCCAAAAAGAGAAAAATATCAAATTTTTGTAAAAAACACGTTTATTGCCAGATTTTCACATTTATTACTGAAAGTACGCGTTTATTGAAGGTGGACTATGTAAGCAAATTAAGTTTAAATACTTTACATGTAAGCCCCAATTAGTGTACAATTTAAACATATCTAATTTATTTCAGAACAAATAAGAGCAAAGACAATATTTTTTTCAGTGACTTTTTCCACTGCAGTGGAAGACCGCTGCTTAGAGTCCCTCGAATGTGGTTGGTGTTCTTCTGTACAATACGGTTCAGTAATTCACATTTCATCTTGCTTTTCCTTGTGTTTGGTGCGCTGATAACTGGGTAGCTATTAATGAAATTATTTTAATGAGTTTAAAATTATCGGTGGACAATTGAAATTAAAGACACTGATTTAGTTGTTCACTGGTTATGCTGAATTTAATATTTAAAACAAAACAGTACAAAGACAGAAATGATGCTAACAGTTTGGAATACAAAATTATTGAATTGATTCGAGAAAAAATAACTAATAAGAAAATAGCTCACTGTATAAATGAACAATTTCAATAAAAAAAAAAAAAAAAAAAAAAAAAAAAAAAAAAAAAAAAAAGGAGGACGCTTGAGGTGTCCCTGCCGCGTGAGTTTTGTTTTAAACACTGATTGTTACACTTTAAGCATCCCCAAGCCCTGACGGGCAAGGGAAGGGATGTTAGGAAGTTACTTTAACAATATGACGAGAGCTTCCTTGTCTTCGATCCCTAAATTACTTATTTGTTTGTTATTCTTCAATTGTTTACCTTATTAAAATTAGGTGTGATTATTTGTTTGTATTACTGTATTCTCTTTTGTTTATTTTAGCTTAAAGTAACTAATCAATAGTTTTATTAATACTTATGATGTAAAACGGGGTGAAGCTCGTGGGTAGTATATATGGTATACGCATTTTGGGATAATTGTTTCATAATGTAAAAGGAATTTTACGTGATGTGAGACACATATTAATGAACATTTAAGTATTATAAATATCATTCAACATGAGAATTCCCATTTCAAGATTTTGATGGATTCTGTGTCGTCCCTCTGAACTCGGTATTCTCTGCTGTCTACACTGTATTCATGCTGCTCAGAGATTTCGAAGTGAACACCACAAAACCTTTCCATCTCTTTAGTAATGTGAATTATGGATGTGTGCATTTGTAATCATCTAAAGGATATGCTATCAGAAATATTATGCATTCCAAATCTACCCTCAATTATAGTACTTCTCATGAGGAATTGCTCTATTGTTTTGTGTACAAAGGTGCCATACCATAGTTAATCGGGACGACGGATTGTGAAGGCGTCTTACAAGTGAAATTGGCGTTTTATGTCACGTCAATGTTTGTAAAAAAATAAAAAGAGAATATGTTATAATTAGCTGTTTATGTTAAAACTGTGTACGATAATGCTTTCTTATTCAACTTACAGGTTAACCAACCATAGGCTACTGTATAGTTGTAAAAATAAATGTCTAACTATGGCAAGTTATGTTTCACAGAATATTTGTCCTTTCGTTCATGATAAATTTTAGGTGTTTTTGGTGAAAGTAATTATTTGAGAGGGTTTTTTTGAAGCTAGAATTAAGTTAAATAGATAGTGAAATAAGTTACAGAAGAGAAAATGAGTTGAAACGCTGTACTTTAAATAATACATGTGAAAATATGGCAAAAAAGTTGTTTACAACAATGTAAAATTTTTGTCTTTTTGGATCGGGTCCCAATTATCGTCTTTGCATCTATATGTTCTGAAATAAGTTTCGATATGTTTTAATTGTACACTAATTGGGGCTTACATGTAATAGTATATTTCGTACATAGGGCCGAAAAAGAGGTTTTTTCCGGCTCGAGATAGTTTTTAAGTTCGAGACGAAGTCGAGAACTTAAATCAATCGAGAGCTGCAAAACCATTTTGGTCCGTGGTACGAACGCTATTTCTCACCACACTATACCCTATTACCACTATTCACCACTATAATAATCAATGCACACTGATAGTCAACACTACTACAACTTTAAGGTTATGTGAAGAAATAGTTTGAGGAATCAGCAAAAATAAAAATAAATAGTTACTAGGCAACAGTGACAATAACACAATTCTATTGCAATGCTATGAATTTTGATTGTGTATTTAAAATGCATTCATGTTTTAAGTAAGTATGCGGACAGCTGATTTTGCGGCCCCGGCCTGTAAAAACGTGCTCGGTCCCCAAATAACGATGACAGCTGGCATGGCCAGCAAAACGTAACTTTCAGCCACCAATTAACGTATGTAATACAGCCAAAAACATCATAGTCTGGTGAAAAGTATTTAAACTTAATTTACTTACATAGTCCACCTTCAATAAACGCGTACTTTCAGTAATAAATATGAAAATCTGGCAATAAACGTGTTTTTTACAAAAATGTGATTTTTTCTCTTTTTGGAGCGCACTCTAGTGAGCTAATTGTGCGTTTGATAAAGAATGGTGCATATGTATTTTGTAGGAAATTTCATGATCTTTCATTTTCACATTTGGTAAAATTTAGTAGAATGTATAGTTTCCGAGGTATAAGCAAGAAACTGAAAAAAGTGCGAAAATTTTCATATTTTTTGCGTCTAGCTCAAAACGCACAAGGAATTTTTGTTGGATCTCTTCAGATTCGGATTCAGCGCCCCAAAAAACATAAAGTTAAGAAAAAAACTCGTAACAGTTATTTTTTGTAACGTTCAACTACCATTTGACTGGACTATAACTAAAAGAGAGAAAAACAAGCCAATCCAACACCATGATAGAATAACAAGATTCAAAGATTTTATTATTTTATATTATTAACAATAATCAGTACCTAATAACTTAGGTATTAAAATACAGTAAACCCTCATAAACTTGACACCTGGCAACAGTCTGTGTACCGTAATTCGACAGTCATTGCTGACAGGGCGCACACAATAAAAGCAATTTTTACAGAACTTTTAATTTTCATTTTTGAATATTGTTTAGGCCTACTTACTCAAAATGTAAAAATACTCTTCATTAAGTAGGTAGGTAATAGATGTGTAAAAAATAATCTGTAACCTAAGTTGAACGTGCCTTGTTTGTTTGCAGAGCGGTGGAGGCTTTTAATAAATGTATTAAGCTTAAATGTTGAAAACCTGTCCTGGAACATTTGTGAAAGGTGTCCGGATAAGAGGGAGTCTACTGTAATGGCATTTATCGTGTTGCACATCTCAAATTTACATTTATGTAAGTTATTGCAGTGTTAAACTAGGTCCTGGTTTTAAAACTTCATGTCAATTTTAAGTTAACAAGATTGCCTACTATCTTAAACGAGCTGTTACGCACGGGCTTCACCCCGTTTGACTTCATAAGTATTAATACAATTATTGATTGGTTAAGTTAAGCTGAAAGAAACAAAATAGAATACAGTAATACAAACAAATGAGTACAGCTGAGATACTTTTTACATTAGATATATGGAAAGTTCTCTTTAGAAAGGATTTACGACCTTAAAGGCCAATTTATGAAACAATGGATAGTTTTGCGCAAGGTTTCTCGTCATGACGAACATTTTAAGTAAGTTATATGGTTTATGGGAGTGTGACTTATAGTTTTCTCAAAAGTTCATGGGTACTTTTGGCTTTATATATAGATAGGCCTACACAGTAGGCCTAGGCTACTTTATTTATTTTCATTCCTGCATGGGGCCCTGAATTTATATATCTATAAGTAGGTAGGTAATAGATGTGTAAAAAATAATCTGTAACCTAAGTTGAACGTGCCTTGTTTGTTTGCAGAGCGGTGGAGGCTTTTAATAAAATGTATTAAGCTTAAATGTTGAAAACCTGTCCTGGAACATTTGTGCCGTTATTCTGTTTTAGTATGGTTGCTAAGCTACACAAAGCTAGCGGCGCTAATATTATAGGTAGGCCTACCGTTTATGAAAACATCTTTAGAAGTTATTATGGAAGATAATTTATTGTATTGCTATGTTTTGTTTCAGATTGATTAATACGTTAACTGTGGAAAGAAGGATATTAACTTTGTAAACATGAGTCATAAAAAACCACCAGTTTTACGCCCTCATGAAGAAGAAGAAATTTTAAATTTTATCTTAGAAAAGGCTAAACAAGGCGATCAGGTTAAACGTGAAGAGGTTCTTGACCTAGTAATAAAGTTTCTCAAATCAGACAATCGTAAAAACCCTTTTAGGAATGGAGTTCCGGGTGATAAATGGTTTTCACTTTTTAGAAGAAGACACAACAGTCATTTTTCAAAGCTGGAAAAAGAACATCTTATCATTTTGGAGCGAATTGTAAGTTGTTTGATAAGAAATAAAAACATGTTTAAAAAGTTTTAGGCCTATAATTGACTTGAAATTATTTAATACTAGTGAATCTTTTGCTTGAATTCGAGCAATTGAAAAATAATACAGGAGTTACTTCAAAACGAATAACAGTCGAATAATTTCTGATAAGTTTAAAAGAGTTAACTCTATAACTGATGGAAACACTCACGATGTACATAACTGTTTGATATAATCAAAATTTCTTGTAAATATTTTATCATTTTTCAAAAGATCTTTTTTTTAGTGTTTTCTTTTCTACAAAATGTTTCACAACTTACTTATAGGTACTTATTCATAAGGTTGTCCATGTTTATCTTTGTTATTGATAATATAGCCTGCATGGTACCACCATTGTCGGCAGTATGTTTACAAATTTCAGACATAAGCGATAAAATTTGCTCACATTGCTTAAGAACTACCTGATTCATAACTTGTCAGTCACAATTTTATTTGCTTCAATTGACATTCTTTTGGTTAAGCCGGGTTTTCCTAGGCGCGTAGTCGGCCAGCGGAGAGAGGAACGCGGAGAGCGGACTCAGCTTGTCTTAGGTAATTTAATGTTACCGTTTTCCTAGCAGCGGAGCGGAATGCCATGTTAATTTCAATTCCGCTCTCCGTTGTCCGCTCTCCGCTGGCCGACTCCGCGTCTAGGAAAACCCAGCTTTAGTTGCTGTGAGTAATGTCAATTTGCCTATATTTATCTGAGAAAATGTAGGGTTATAAGGTTAAGGTTTTGTTCAGGTGGTTTTTTCCCATTAACTGTGAATAATAATTTAATCCTTTAATGAAAGTGTTAGTAAAGGCTTCTTGGGTGTAGTCATATATTAAAAAATATCGGTTTTTCTTTTCCGAGTCCGTCCGCCTCTTCTACCCGTCTGAGTTTCATGATTTTGGTCTTAAATTAAAGGTATGCACCCGTAGATTTGCCATCTAGCATCGGCATTCATTTATCTGACGTATTACTCGAGTTATGCACAAACGTAATTTGCTCCCTGTACATTTCTTATGGGAGATAAATTTGGTTTTTCTTTTCCGAGTCCGTTCGGCTCTTCTACCCAACCGATTTTCATAATTTTGGTCTTAAATTAAAGGTATGCACGCCTAGATTTGCCATCAAGCATCAGCATTCATTTATCTACAGTATTTCTTGACCAAAAAACATAAATTAGATTTTTTTAAAATTGTTACTTCAATTGAAGATTCCTCAGTTATAATTACGTAATCCTAAATGTTTTGGTGTAAGAACCTTCAGTGAAATACCAGCTTTCATTTGAGCCCTTGATTATTAAGATCGGACGTACCTGAAGCACGCTGCTGAATTCCAAACAATAAAAAATGTAATTATTTTGGGATTTACCGACGACCAGTGATCAATAAGCCCATTTTTATTTTAGTTTGTTTATATGTTTTGTTCTTAAAATACTCCTAGAAATACAAGCTTTCATTTGAGATATATATGCACGATAACTCGAGCAAAAATGATCCGATTTTGATGAAATTTGGTACAAACGTGTAAACCTACGTTTATTCAAACGAGTTCGCGATCCAGCATGATCGGACCATGGGAACGGGGTTTTATGGGGTAAAAATAGGTTTTTCCCATTTTTGACCCAAAAAACATAAAATTTAGCAATTTCTTTCCAAACCATTTTTTAGAGCTTAAAAAAACTAATAATTTAGTATATTGAAGCGTTATTATGCGCCTAATGGTTACGTAGAAAATTCCAAAAAATTGTAAACTTAAAATTCCCATGTTATTCTTATGGAGAATAAGTAAACTGTTGTAGTTTGCTTGTTTATAAACATATTTTGATCAAATTTGGAAAATGTTTTTATTTCTTACTAACTATTAACATTTTACAAAAAAAGTTTTACCCTCCCTGATGCAGCAAACCTAAGTACTTGTTAAACTAATTCTATTTAAATAGGGAATAAATGTTATATTTTTAAGTAGACATTTCTGTGTAAATCCAATCAGTCAAATGGAAATTCACTTAGTCTGCAGGTTTGCTGAAGCGGGGGTTTTGTATGGTTATTGGTTACGGAGAAAATTGTAAATTAAAAATTCCCACGTTATTCTTATGGAGAATAAGTAAACTGTTGTAGTTTGCTTGTTTATGCATATATTCGGATCAAACTTGCCCAATCTATTTATTTTATACAGGGTGGGGCAATGAGAACGTCACAATTTGTTTTAGCTGTCACATGTTAATTGTTGCAACAACGAATGATCAGCTGTGCTTGAAACATCAATTAAACTATGCCATTTTAGTAAATATTAAGCCCGAGGCTATTAACACTGAGATTTTGATGTGCAAACCTATTTTTAAAATAGTGGTTCTTGTGCAAAAACCCAAAGATTGTGTGGACCACATTCCATCCTTGGTCAACATACTGCGACTCTTTCAACATTTGCTGGTGTACAAAGAGTTTTGCGGCACCCACCGATTATATTTAATGTTTAAGCGTTTATCCTAAATAATTTTACCCAGTTCACCATTGTTTTCCAATCTGGAACAGTGCCATGTTGACCAAGGATGGAATGTGGTCCACACAATCTCTGGGTTTTTGCACAAGAACCACTATTTTAAAAATAGGTTTGCACATCAAAATCTCAGTGTTAATAGCCTCGGGCATAATATTTACTAAAATGGCATAGTTTAATTGATGTTTTAAGCACAGCTGATCATTCGTTGTTGCAACAATTAATTAACATGTGACAGCTAAAACAAATTGTGGCGTTCTCATTGCCCCACCCTGTACTAAGCTATTAATATTTTACTATAAAATACCCCCGCCACAGCAAACCTGCAGACTAAGCGAATTTCCATTAATCTGATTGGATTTACACTAAAATGCCTCCATAAAAATAGCACATTTATTTCCTATTTAAATAGAATTAATTTAACGAGTACTTAGGTTTGCTGCAACAGGGAGGGTAAAAAAGATTTTTTTATAAAATGATAATAGTTTAGTAAGAAATATAAGTATTTTCCAAAATCGATCAAAATCCTACTAATATTATAAATGAGAAAGTTTAGATGTATGGATGTATGGATGTATGGATGTATGTTTGTGACAAGTGAACGCGAAAAATACTGGTCGGATTGGGCTGAAATTTGGCATGATGATAGCTCACATTCCCGATTAACATATAGGCATATTCTAATTTCAAAAAGCCTTTTGGGCTCCGCCCCAGTGGCTCTGGAGTTTCCCATGTTAACCTTATGAGAAATGGAATTATTGAATCTTAACAGCTGTTTCAATTAAACAAGTTGGTTCTGTGCTATGATGTTCAATAGCATTAAAGTTACAAGGATTACCAACAGGGTGCATCACTATTATTTCTTTTACATTTATGACAACAGCTAATTTGAAACCAAAAGGTGAGTGAGCGTAGCGAACGAACTTCAACCTGGAGGCGAGTTAGCGTAGCGAACGAGCTAACCTGAAGGCAAGTGAGCGCAGCGAACGAGCTCCAACCTAAAGGTGAGTGAGCGTAGCGAACAAACTTCAACCAGGACGTGATTGAGCCATGCGAACGAGATAATCTTGAAAACTAAGAAGTTAAACGGGGCAAAGCCCGCGGGTTACAGCTAGTATGTTCATAAACAAGCAAACTACAACAGTTGACTTATTCTCCATAAGTATAACATGGGAATTTTAAAATTAAAATTTTTTAAAATTTTCTCCATAACAATTAGGCGCATAATAACGCTTCAATATACTAAATTATTTGTTTTTTTAAGCTCTACAAAATGGTTTAAAAATAAATTGTGAAATTTCGTGTTTTTAGGGTCAAAAATGGGAAAAACCTATTTTTACCCCATAAAACCCCCCATAAACCCCCGTTCCCATAGTCCGATAATGCTGGTTCGCGAACTCATTCAAGTTTATCCCGCCTTACACCTTCAAACCAAATTTTATCAAAATCGGAAAAAAATTACTCAAGTTATCGTGCGGATGGACACACATATATATATATATCTCTATATATAGATATATAAAAATTTGAACGAATGGTGTTTTTGGCCTCTGGGGACATCAAAATGAAATACCCCCGCCGCAGCAAACCTGCAGACTAAGCGAATTTCCATTTGACTGATTGGATTTACACTGAAATGTCTACTTAAAAATATAACATTTATTCTTGATTTAAATAGAATTAGTTTAACAAGTACTTAGGTTTGCTGCATCAGGGAGGGTAAAACTGTTTTTTTTTTTTGTAAAATGTGAATAGTTAGTAAGAAATAAAAACATTTTCCAAATTTGATCAAAATATGTTCACAAACAAGCAAACTACAACAGTTTACTTATTCTCCATAAGAATAACATGGGAATTTTAAATTTACAATTTTTTGTAATTTTCTCCGTAACCATTAGGCGCATAATAACGCTTCAATATACTAAATTATTTGTTTTTTTAAGCTCTACAAAATGGTTTGGAAAGAAATTGCTAAATTTTATGTTTTTTGGGTCAAAAATGGGAAAAACCTATTTTTACCCCATAAAACCCCCCGTAAACCCCCGTTCCCATGGTCCGATCATGCTGGATCGCGAACTCGTTCGAATAAACGTACGTTTACACGTTTGTACCAAATTTCATCAAAATCGGATCATTTTTGCTCGAGTTATCGTGCTGACGGACACATATATATATATATATATAAATATATATATATATATATATATATGGATTTGAACGGATGGTGTTTTTGGCCTCTAGGGACCTCAAAACGAAAAAAAAAAATCGGTCCCGCGTCCAGGTCTTACCATGAGTACTACGGTAATAGCTTATTCCCTATATGGGAAATTCGCTAAAAGTAAATCGGTCCCGGGCTTAGGTCTTACCATGAGACCTATGGTAATAGCTACTTCCCTATAGGGAAATTCGCTAATATGTGTTTTTTTTAAACACACTTTATTACACTGCAGGCAGCAAACCTAGGTGCTTGTTATACCTAATGTTAATTGAATAGATTTAATTGAAAATCAAATCAGGCAAATGGAAATTCGCTTAGTCTGCAGGTTTGCTGCGGTGGGGGTATTTTTCATTACAACAATTCATTTCTTTCTAATAAGTCTTACTCATTTTTCTCTTTAAGTTTTTTATCAAATTAAGTTTTTTTTTACACTAAATTCACTCGGTCCTTTAGTATTATTCCCCATAAGTTTAATTGTTTGCTTTTTTTAAATTATACAACAGGTCTTTTAAATGGCACAAGGCTTATTGTAAAGAAAATGCATACAAATATTTTAGATTTGGAAATAATAACGGGGAAGAACATCGGGCAACGTGTACTCCTGCCTCACATTGATCTTTCACCTTCAGATACAACTGTGCCATTTTCTTTCAAGCGAAGACAATTTCCAATTAAGGTAGCATTTTGCATTACCATTAATAAAGCGCAGGGGCAAACAATTGATCGGGTTGGAGTCTACTTGCCTGAACCAGTTTTTAGCCATCAGCTGTATGTCGCCTTATCGAGAGGAAAATCATTCGAAAAAGTTAAAGTAGAAATAAAACCAAAAGGACGACGCACATTGATTATTGTATGGAGAGAAGTTGTAAGGCAGATGATTTAATATTTGTATTTATATTTTATTTGTTATTTAATGTAATGGTGTAAATAAACTAAACAAATTTTATTTATAACATAAATTATTAATTTGAGTAAAATGTTAACACTAATATTCAGTTTAATAAATTATCTTAAGATTTTCTGAAGTAAATTCCAATGCTGCGGAGCAGCACGGGTCCTCTAGTCCTTCTAAAATCACTTGACTTTAATGGAAACATAGATAGGCCTACATAAATGTCACCATAGCAAATAATATGACATACATGTCATCTTCTATATTAATAGGCAAGTAGCCTATGTTTCTTTAAAATCTTTTTTCTCACTTCGTGTGTATCACAGGGAAAATATGCTCATAAATATTGTTAGAAAGATATTTGCCTGTAGATGAGCAGAATACCTTTATAAACATTAAAGCTTTGGCTGTTTTTTAAAACAGCCTCAAAAGTAAGCACAAAAAATGAATTTAAAATAAAAAAAATAACATGGGCCTTATGGGTTACCATGCTGGTGACGAAATAACAAAGATATATAAACAGAATGTCCCAGCTGCAGCAAACCTGCCGACTAAGCGAATTTCCTTATGCCTGGTTTGATTTTCAATTAATCTATTAATTTACATTTATTTTTAACAAGTACCTAGGTTAGCTGCTACAGGAAAACTAATAAAGTGTGTTTTTTATTAAAATATCATTAGCTTAGTATGAAATAAATAAATCCTTCAAGTTTGATCAACATATATAGGCCTATCCATAAACAGGCCAACTACAACATTAATTTTCTCCCTAACCAATCACCATAATAAAACACTTTGATATACTTAATTATTTGTTTATCTAAGCTCTTTAAAAAGGTCTGGAGAAAATTTGATAAATTTTATGTTTTAAGGGTAAAAAATGGGAAAACCCCCTTTTTACCCCATAAAATCCCGTTAAACCTTGTTCCCATGGTCCGATCATGTTGGTTCGCTAACTCATTCAAGTGTATCCCACCTTACACCTTCAAACCAAATTTTATCAAAATCGGGCAAAAATTACTCAAGTTATCCTCTGGATGGACACACATATATATACATATATAAAATTTTGAACCAATGGTGTTTTTGGCCTCTGGGGACATCAAAATGAAAAAGTAAATCGGTCCTGGGCCTAGGTTTTTTGCCATGAGACCTACGGTAATAGCTACTTCCCTATAGGGAAATTTGCTAAAATCCAATTTAATTGAAGACTGCTACACAATCATCAAATGTTTTATTTACTGCGTAGGGTGAAAATAGAGAAGTCTGTACATTACATATTTTTGGTTGCGTTTTCGACCACTGGACGACCTCTAGTTGAACATAAATGGGGTACACTTCCATATCTGTTTGCACAAACAACCGAATTGAGTAATATCGATCGATATATCAAATTAAACAATCAAATAATCAATATTACTCATTCGGTTGTTTGTGCCAACAGATATGGAAGTGTACCCCATAAATGTCCCTGACCGACTAGCTTTATTGAGCCTCGTGAAGGCTTTCCTCTGCAATGATCGAAAAAGTTAAGTCCATGTTTCCTACTAAAAATGTTAGCACTTTGGCTAAAATACTCATTCATTGTTTGTAGGAATATTTTATCTTGTAGGCCTAGCTGTTTTCTTAATTAGGCCTACATACAGGATAGTAGATTCATAATAAGTAATTATCTATATTTTCATCTATTTGGTGGCATTCTATTACTTTTCTATGATTCCATAGTTTGCAAATCGGTTCTTTCAATGATTGCTTTAAAAATACAGTCTTGGGCTATGTCAATAGATTTTTCTTATTTGATGATGTATATCAAATTGCAAAGCCTTTATCAGGCTATATAGCTTTTTTCCATTGTAATAATATGTACGCAACCCAAATTCAAATAGTAGGACTAAATATTTAATTTCAACCAAATCAGTAAATGTTTTTGTTCATGCACCTTGCATTGCAAAACAAATAACAACAGCAATTAAACTATCCAGCCGATCATAATGTAAACAAAATCTGCTCTTCGTAAGGATAACATGGGAACTTTAAAAGTCAGTGGGGCAAAGCTTAAGGGACTTTTTCATAAATTTAAGATCAGTTTGCACATCTACGCAACATGCTCTTTCCAATGAGACGTGAATGGTCAAAATCGGTTTTAAGACATGATGGATGAATTCAACTGACAAATTTTGTGTTGGTGTAGGCTATTAATCAATGGGGGATCTAGCTTTTTGCAGTTTTCTCTATCTATAGTTGCATGTTTATATTGTAATTAAAATGAGATCATTTACATTAAAGTAATAGAGGTTTTCCTCATGCTCAACAATTACACTTAAAACTCCAACTTAACATCCAAACCAACTTTAGGGTTTCACCGAGAAAGTGCTGAATACAGTGGTCTACAAACCGATTTCTGGGGTCAAGAGACCAATAATTGTGGATTCATCTTGGTCAATGACTCCAAAGAGGAAAAGAAAGCCCAAGGAGTTCAAGGAATATGTGAGTAGTACTCCGAACGAGGGACGTCTAAGCAAAAGTTATTATACACCATCCTCGAGCCATAGTACTCCAGGGATGACAAATATCACTCCAGGGACGTCCAATAGCATGCAAGCTATCAGCGTCAACAGGGTGGATATTACTGAGTCACCTGGGAGCGATGACAGTAGCAATGTCAACACTGACGATGTAGAGAGAGAGAGTCAAGTAAATTTGGGAGATTGTAAAGACTTTGAGCAAGGCGACAAACTCGAAGTGATGGATTTTAATGATGACAAGTGGTAAGTTATATAACTGTTAAGTTTTGTGTACTAAGGGAGACAATCCATACATACCAGCAATAGGATATTTTTCAAATAGAAAGTAATTGAATGAGCCAGTCACAGATTGTGCTACTCTTAAAATTCCATTTTCTCTCTTTGTCAACAATATTTTGATACAAGTACTTTTAATACAACTAGTTGCCCTTTCAGTTTGTCTTTGTTAAAAATTCTTTGCATGAAATGTATTTACTTGATCAATAATATTAAATAGTATTCATTTTATTTTAGAACAAAACTTTAATGAGGTGAACTTGTAAAACAAAAACATAGCAACAAGTAAACAACTATTATCATCATATGGTTATATTAAAACAGTAACACATGACATTGCATAAGGCCGAAATCAGTAGAACAAAAGTGACAGCAGCTCACTCTGTCAGTGGCTTAAATTAACTACGTTAATTTTTCGTTCTTAAACCGGCTAAAAAATGTTATGGTAATAGGAAGTATCATTCATTCTGATTAATACTACTTATTTCTTTTTATTTAACCAACTTTAACACTAAAGTCTACTTGCAATATCCTAAGTCAATTGTTTTATATAATTTTCAAAAGGAAGTAAATTTAATTAGTTTTTCATTTCCTCTGAGTTTTCTGTTGGCTTACTTTTTATTACGCCTTTATCAATAAAACCTAATGATTGTATGTAAACCATAAGAACTGTATTCAAGTAAAATATATTCATTAATTTAAACATAAACTTTATGTCAAAGGGTTACAATATAGGCTATGGATTGTTATTTCCCCAGTGACTTCCTTGAATAGTAAATTAGAAACAATCAGCTGGAATTTTGTTTTAAGAATGCTTGATGTTTTTGGTCACCTGCTAAATTTTAGACAATAATATTATTTGTGCAAGCAAATTATATGGTGTAAAATTGAATGTTGTGTCAAATGTGTAAATTCCTCAAAAAATAAATCAAGGTAATACTTTTTTTGATTAGTTATGTACCTATGCTAAACTATACTTTGACTGTACATATTATTTATTCTAATATACTTAATTTTTAAATTAACTGTCTAGTCTCCTCTTTGTGTTGTTTTGTTGTTGATGATTTTCTATTGTTTAGTTTTTAGGTTATGGCCCTCAAACATGATTTGGGTTTTAAGCTTTTTTGACAATTAATTTTTGATAATTTAGCCAATAACTGCCAAGCTTGGGTTGTAAAAAGTATTTGATGGATAAAGAAACCAGCAAAGCAGATTTATATACAAAATTCCATTATAGGCCTACACTCTAACAATGTTTATACAATTTTAAAACTAAAAATTTGCTTTTAAAGTTTTATTACATAAGCTTTATCCAAAGTGTACCCAAATTTTGTGTCCAACCCCAAACCCACAGTTTTTGGTCTAAATACTTATGCAATAATTATTAGATCAATGTTAAAAACAATCAAGTTCTATAATATTTAACTTCTAGATTAATTAATTTTAATCAATCCTGCATGCAGCAAAGGAGTATGCATAGGTATAGGCTGCAAAGATATGCCAAAAAGTTTTGAGTACAAATCCCATGTCCTAAATTTTTGGCTGTAGTTTTTACAATTTCAACAAGCTTATATTTTAAAGTAAAGCCATTTGGCTGGTTAGAATTTTTTTAGGAATATAGTTCAGTTAGCTTCTAGTTACCTGAGAAAATTAGGGCCCAGGGGCTAAATAGCCTAGATAGAGGTAAGTTAACCTAAACAATAAAATAACACAAAACAGCTTAGACCTATTTGAGTTCGCAGTTATACTAATTTTAAGTTGGTTATCTCTTTTAAAAAAATTGGGTACTTCAGTATTAAACGGAGGCCACCTAACCTACAGAAATATTTCGTACCGGATACCAAAAATAACTACATACTTGGAAAGAACACACTTTAATAGATTAACAGGTGAAGTTTAGAATTAATCCGACGCCTGGTTCTGACGTTGTGCAACCCAGAACGCAGCAATGTCAGTAGGCCACATTTTGTCAGCGCGCTGCGGCGGTTATGTTAGGTTGGGTTATCGTAAATATTATGTGTGTAGGACTTTCCTCGCTTCGTTATGAATCGAACGATACCAGACGAGTTATACTTTCTATTATGATAACCCAACCTAACATAACCGCCGCAGCGCGCTGACAAAATGTGGCCTCCGTTTCAGACACAGTGACAGGCGATGACAGGTAATGGCGCGCGCTCCGGTCAACGACCCTGACATTGGCCTACTTGGAGGGGATTCTGCGAGTAGACACATGACTCATCTGATAACGCTCGACTCACAACAATACTAGAATAGTTCTACTACAACATCTATAACAATTTAACCCTCTATAAGTGCCGCGGCGCGTTTCGTAATGGTGGCCTCCGTTTAATACTGAAGTACCAAAAATTGGATAACCAAAACCAACATATGGTATGGTACGTCCAGAGTGCACACAGATTCAGATTCAGGTTCAGATTTTCAGCAGCAGGAATGGCACTTGCCTTTAAATCAAAGTGGCCATAGTGGCTGCCAGTTGCCGAGCCCATGCGCAGGCACCTGCTTACCTGAATGAATTCTTCATTCTGGGTTCAGATTCCAATTCAGACAGTGCTCGTACGTATACTATTTAATTAAATAAAGTTGGGGTAATTTCCTGTTAAAGGGAACATTCATTATTATCAATGATTTGTTTTCGATATTTTATTTTTCGATCCGATATATATCAATGTTAAAGAATTGAAACACATCAGCTGAAAACTATGATAAATAAATTGTTCAGTATCAACAAACATTAAAAAGAATATTATATTTAAAATGAAACTGTTCTAAACTAACCTAACATAACTAACCAAACTTGCTGTAACACTTCAAAATTCCGTTTGATTCCCCACATGCCTGATTGATGAATTTTGAAATGGTACAGAAAGTTTGGTTAGTTATGTTAGGTTAGTTTAGCACAGTTTTATTTCTTACTATATATACGGTATATATATATATATATCTATTATTTTTGTCTAATAAAATTACCGTAGTTCTCAATTTCTAATTTAAATGCATTTTAAGGTAATAAATCAGAAGGAATACGGATTGCGAAGGAAAACAAAAATCTTATAGCCTGCTATTAACATGGGAGATGAAAATATGTTAAACATTTAATTGAAGAAGGTGCTGATGTAAACTGAGGTTACCGTACCTTGACAATTAGTGCAGTAAAAATAAGATAAAAATTCCATAAACCTAAAAAAAAATAGCACAACCGGGGAATTTGGTACAGATGTTGGGTGTACCTTCCTTTTGAACATACTAAAAGTCCCCTAAAATTGAAGCTGTGCTACGGCCGCCATATTGGAAAATGGCGGCATATTTCTGTATTTTTCGCTATAGTGACTTTATTATTAGAGATACAGGAAAAAGCTAAATGTACAAAATGTAGGTCATCTAAAAATACACATTTTTTGTATTTACCATCTTTCTCTAAACCCAACGGTTTTTGAGTTATTTGTTATTAAGTATATTTAGTTTTTTCTATTTATCAAAAATAGGTGAAACACATGGAAATTGACCGTTACTTTCAAGGATTATGATAATTTATCCCATTTAGTTAAATAGTGTGATACTATAAAATCTAAAAATTTTAGCTTATTTTATGAGTAAAACAACTCTGCCACAGCAAACCTGCAGACTCAGCAAATTTCCATTAGATTGGATGTTTTATTAATTGTATTTAAATAAAATTAGATTCAACAGGTATCTAGGTTCGCTGCTACAGGTTAGGTTATTATAGTGTGTGTTTTTTTTTTGTAAAATATCAATAACTTAGCATAAAATAATAAATCTATAAACAAACAAACTGAAACAGTTAACTAATTCATAATAATAGCATGGTAGCTTAAGATTTACAATTTACAAATTTAAATATACAAATTTTGGTTGTGTTTACTAAAAATATGGCGATTATTCATCACGTTTTGAATACTAACCGAAGGGGTTTTCTAAAGGAGATGAAGCAAGTAATTTAAGTACTGTAATATTAACTCGTACCAAGTATCGGAAATATTGTATGCGCTGAGGAAATCAACCATATTTTGTAAACTACGCAATAATATTTTATACTCATTTTTACCCATTTAATAAAATAACATTTTAATATTTTGATGGCACTACCACTATCACTCTGATATCAACTAAGTGGGATGAATAATTAATTGTCGTAAACCTTGAAAGTAACCGTCGATTGCGATGGGTTTCGCAGATTTTTGATAAATAAAACTAACTATACTATATACCATACTTAATTAGTCACCAACAAGAACTAGACACGAAAAACACCCTTCCAAGTTCCAAATTTACAATGGGATGTCAAGTATAGTTAGTTAGTGTGGTGGTGCCATCAAAATACTAAAATGTTAACTATTAAATGGGTAAAAAATGAAGATAAAATATTAATATGAATATTGCGTACTTTATAAAATATGGTAGATTACCTTAATGCATACAATATTTTCGGTGCTTGGTACGAATTAATATTACTTAAATAACAGGCTCCATCTCCTTTTGAAAACCCATTTGGTTAATATTCTAATCGTGACCATTCGCCATCTTTTTAGTAAACACGACCAAAATTTGTATACTCAAATATTTGTTTATTGTAAATTTAAAACTCCCATGCTATTCTTATGAATTAGTTAACTGTTGCAGTTTGCTTGTTTATAGATATATTTTGATCAAACTTGGAAAATTAGTTATTTTATAGGAAAGTATTGATATTTAACTTAAAAAAACACACTATAATAACCTACCTGTAGCAGCAAACCTAGGTACCTATTGAACCTAATTTTATTTATATACATTTTTTAATAAAACATCTAATCAAATGTAAATTTGCTGAGTCTGCAGGTTTGTTGTGGCGGAGTTTTATTATTCATAAAATAAGCTTAAATTTTTAGATTTTATAGTATCACACTATTTAACTAAATAGGATAAATTATCATAATCCTTGAAAG